CCATGCTACACTGGGTCAATTAGTAAAAATAAATAAAAATACATTCTTTATCTAAAATATTCTTAATCAAAATAAAAATCGGGAAATATGATATTGTCTTGACAATTTTCTATTAGATGTAGGGTACTTAATTAACTACATTTACAGACATTAATGTATCCCATTTTATGGCTGGCTCTTTTATGAGAAATGGTTGATTTAGCTGGAAATTCTATTTGTTGACCGTTGTTGTTTCTACTGCGCATGCGTTTCCGAATAATTTGTCGTCGGGACAGTGAACGCCGAGTGAAAGGCGATTACATTTATAAATAAGCTTCAGACTGATTGCATGGATGAATCCATATGTTTACTTTATCAGTTTGAGAGGAAGACGTTTTCAATCTATTGCAAGTACATCAACTCTAGCTTTTCTACAGCAGTCTTTTTTATTCGAACGAAAAGAGAATCTAGTTTTGAACGCAGCGGGCAGAGCAGGCACAGGTTTGGACCTGTGTAAAGCTAGCCACAATAAGGATTAGCCACACTAGTGGAATTTGCGGTTTGCCTTCAAAATAAAAGTCCCCCATTGAAAGTGATTCAAACGGAAACAACAAATATTGGAATTGTTCCATATTTTGACTAGATAATGCTTAACAAGGTCAGAATGTTGATATATAAATTAAACAAAAGACAATAATTACTTAATTTGTGTAGATTGATGAGCGAAAAAAACAATTCAATCCATTTTAGAATAAGGCTGTAACTAACAAAATGTGGAAAAAGTCAAGCCTCCTTCACTCATGCTGCCAAACATGCCCTCGTAAAACTGACTATCCTACCAATCCTTGACTTCGGTAATGTAATTTACAAAATAGCATCCAACACTCTACTCAGCAAATTGGATGTAGTCTATCACAGTGCTATCTGTTTTGTCACCAAAGCCCCATATACTACCCACCACTGTGACCTGCACACTCTTGTTGGCTGGTCCTCACTACATATTCGTCGCCAAACCCACTGGCTCCAGGCCATCTATAAATCACTGCTAGGCAAATTCCCTTCTTATCTTAGCTCATTGGTCACCATAGCAACACCCACCCGTAGTATGCGCTCCAGCAGGTATATCTCACTGGTCAACCCCAAAGTCAACACCTCCTTTGGCCGCCATTCCTTCCGGTTCTCTTCTGCCAATGACTGGAACGAACTGCAAAAATCTCTGAAGCTGGAGACTCTTATCTCCCTCACTAACTTTAAGCATCAGTTGTCAGAGCACCTTACCGATCACCTCACCTGCCCATCTGAAATTAGCCCACCCAACAACCTCATCCCAATTTGTTATTTATTTTGCTAATTTGCACCCGAGTATCTCTATTTGCACATCATCTCTTGCACATCTATCATTCCAGTGTTAATAATAATTGTAATTGTTTTGCACTGTGGCCTATTTATTGCCTTACCTCCATAACTTGCTATATTTGCACACACAGTATATATATTTTCTGTTGTATTTTTGACTTTATGTTTTGGTTTACCCCATATGTAACTCTGTGTTGTTGTTTTTATCGCACTGCTTTGCTTTATCTTGGCCAGGTCGCAGTTGTAAATGAGAACTTGTTCTCAACTGGCTTACCTGGTTAAATAAAGGTGAAATAAATAAAAGGGGTCTGAATACTTTCCGAATGCACTGTAAGTCCCCAATGCAATTCTAAAGTCTAATACATCCAGAGTGTGAATTCAAATGATTTTTAATTCTTGTATTTTGTTGAATTTGTATACAGCATTCCAACCTTGTTTAACATGATCTAGTTCAAATATGGCATGATTCCACTATCTGTATCCGTTTGAATCACGTTCAATGGGGGACTTTTATTTTTAAGGCGAACCGCAAATTCCACTTTTGTGGCTAATCCTTATTATGGCTAGCTTCACACAGATCAGGCTTGACACAGCGGCTGTGAGAATAGGCACCTGTTGTTGCAAAGGTGACAGGACAGACAGTGGAAGGCTGTTGACTCCACCGTGTCTCCTCTCACGTATCGCTGCAGCTGAATCCAGAAATAACTTTGGAGCTTAAGTCTTCGGATGTGGCAAGCCAACTGCAGACGAATGCTCAATTTAACGAACTGGATATCTGGTAAATAAAGTCCTGTTTTGTTGAATTGATTGTTTACCAATGCAATAATTGCAACTAGCAGCGCTGACAGAATTTGTTGATGTGTGTAGTTTTTAATCCACTGTTGCATTGATTTGATAGATACAAAATCAAGACATGTGGAAACAGCCTGAAGACCCGACGTTGAATTGCATTCAATTCTACGTTGGGCATAAATTAGCATTTGGATCAGGAAAGTTTCCTCTCACCACCACAATCCAGAATGTTGAATACAATTTGCCTGGGCAGCCACTAGTGGTCTTTATGGAGCTCCACTATCATCTTGGCTTGATGTGTACAGCTGGTAATACACTTGTGACACCCAGCGACCGGTTCATACATAAAACATTCTCCATTCATGCAAAGGCTTCAATTTCCTCCTTAACTAGATTTAATGGTGAGAAGGCAGAAAAGAAAGCGGGAAATATGCTTATTTTCTTCCCCTTCAGCCAGACTGATGCAACCTGATTGGCTGAATGCAAAACGCAACATCTGGGACTAGCATTCCTAGGCATTAGTGGCTGCCCAGGCTAGAATAAAATGATATTGTAACTTACATTACTGGTTGTCTGTGTGGTTGGTCCTTTTGCAGGTAGGAATGTGAGACAATATATCCATAGGACAGTATAATTACATGAACTTTTCAAAGCACTATGCGTTCAGGTTTCTATCACCTGAAGCATCAGCAGGAGCTTGTGCATGTGTTTACATGGTTCTGTGCATGCTTCAGGTGATAGAAATCTGAAGGCACTACCGGTGCTTTTGAAAAGTTCATGTAATCATACTTTCCTGTGGATATATTGTCTCACATTCTTAACTGCAAAAGGACCAACCGCATGGACAACCAGTAAAAATAATTGTATTAAACATTCTGGGTTTGCAGAGGTTGTGAGAGGAAACTTTCCTGATCCAAACGCACATTTATGCGCAACGTTGAATCCAATCCAATGCAATTCAACGCCGGGTCTTCAGGCTAGTGGAAACATCCATCTTCCTAGCCTAGCTAGCTAGCTATCTTAATTGCAGTTTGTGAGCTCGAGCTGTCAGACACGTTGACAGCTCTTGGTACACGTGACATGTAAACATTGCCATTACAGCAGGCCAAATAAACAATGAGCCAATGTCATTGACCATCCAAATATGGGATGTGTTTTGCAGGCATATATCATACTGACAAGTATTGTCTTTGGATAAATTTAAAAAACTCTAATGTCTATGATTTGTTTTGTTTCTATATTTGAGTAGCGTGTGTGTGTGCGTGTTTTCCTGGTGTTATGTAGCTACTGATGTTATGTCATTGTATGGCTCTGCAGAGACAGTCATGGGCGGGTGTGTAGGGAGGGATCGGCTGGACGGACCTGCCAGGAACTCTACATGGGGCAAAAAACGAGGAGGTAAGAAGATTTGATTGCATAATGCTCTGCAGACAGTGGTGTAGTGTATGGTATACGCCATATACCCACTTTTTTTCAGTGGGCATTGTGTATACTCACTTCTTAATCCACCAAAACCTTCTCAAAGTAGCCTATGCCTACCTGGCAGAATGATATCAGAATTATTTGCATCAATCCAGTGGCCATTTGTATTGCAAACTCCATCTCATGTGCGCTACAGAAACACCGGTAACTAGGGCTGTTATGGTGACCATATTACCGCCACACCGGCAGTCAGGAGTCATAACCGCAGTGAAATTCCACGTGACCATTGAGTCACTGTAACTAGGCTTCTCCAAAACTGTTCTCTGATGCCTCCGATGATCATTAGTAGTATCCTACCAAACTTGCTAACGGCCAGTCGCTAATGTCCCTCTAATCACTCTGACTCCAATGCAAATGCAATCAAAAATCAAATCAAACACTTCATTAGAGCCCTGTTATTCAGAGTTTGAGCAGAATATAATCACCTGTTGTGCAGCGAGAGCCAGTTCCTCATAGCTGGTTGATGCATAGAATGAAATGTGTTCCTGTTGCGCAACATTTCTATAGGCTATGCTATGCAATGCAATTGTGTGACAAAATAGAGTTTTGATGGCCTCTATTAAAAAGAGGAGGATCCCATCAGCTTTCAAACAGGGTTTAAACTTTGAGCACCTTTATCTCCTAAATGTTTTGGCATTCAGGTCCAAAAAGTCACTTTCTGACCTTCTTCTATGGGCAAACATGTATTGAAAGTTTTGTTTAAATGAAAACGGGTGCGGTCAAAAAGTGATTGAATTCAAATGGATTTACCCATAGACTACATTATTTGTTTACGATGTCGCCTATGACAACAAAAACATATGGTCCTTTTTTGTTATGATTGTCATATGATCATATGTGGTCCTCTGTAGCTCAATTGGTAGAGCATGGAGCTTGCAATGCCAGGATAGTGGGTTCGATTCCGGGGACCACCCGTACGTAAAATGGATGCATGCATGACTGTAAGTATACAGTATATGATGGTTAACATAATGTAAGACGCTTGTTCTAAGCATTGTTCTACTGAAGCTATAGTCTCTGGTCTAGGCAGGTCTACAATACCTGGAACTTTCCAAGGCCAAGTTTGTCTCTTAACAAACAGGTAACCTATACAACGGACTATACCAAGAAGTAGCCCCCCCCCCCCCCCCCCCCCCCCCCCCCAGAGTTTAAAGTCTATAATGGGGTTGTGGTGTTGACTTGGGTTATTCAAGACCTCTTCCACCTCTTCCCCTAAATAGCTGATTGGATTAGTGCTGTTGTGTAAAGCATTAGCTGCCTACCTACCAATCTGGATAGGACACTATTGATAGATGTTGTTTATGGCATATGCAGCCAGATATTCGATCGTCATATATAGATCCTGTGGTGGTATTTTGGTTGGCTGGGTGTGTGTTATTAAGGCATTCATTAGTAAAGAACTGGGGAAGTGTCACAACAGCTAGCTAACCTAGCTCTGACACCACACGGATAACTGTAGTCGTCACGGATAGCCAAAGCGTGGTGGTGGGATCATACCCTTGACCACTGCAACCTTCTTAGACAGAGAGACGTAAGCTCCAGTTGCTGGTTGGAGTCTCTGAAAGGCAGTTTTTTCTGATGTTGAGTCAGTGTCGTGTTTGATTTAAACATCAGTCTCTGGAACACATACATCAAATCTCTGGGAGAGAGAAAGAGAAGAACATGGGAGTCGCTAACTCTAGGGACTACCATCCGTACCACCCCTCACAGTCTCCCATCAAGGTGGTGCTGAAAAGTGAGTATGGGTGCAGATGAACTATGGATCGTTTAATTGCTGGATGACTGTGTTAGTGAGCGTCATCTTTCTAGAGCTGCAATTGCCAATAACATAACAGTGTTAAGTCTGTGTCTAGTTTGTTTTCCAACATGTTGAAGTAGTGTAAGATGTGGTCATTAGATATTAGAAACAACTTGTTATTAGGTTGTAATACATCTGTCTTAAGCTATATTGTGACCTGTTAATATAACCTACCTCTTTTCATGAATTCAGTTAACAGGGAATAGGTAAGGGGACAGGGGACGTTTATGAAGGGATATGAGGAGAAGGAAGTGTGTAATGTGAATAAGGGGACTTAGACTAATTATTATGGGAATATGCTGTAGTAGTATCAGGAGTCAAACTTGTGTAATAATTATATAATAGTGACTCTTAAAGGGCAATTCCACCACTATTCAACCTAATTTTCATTATCTCAAACACAATACTAGTGTCAAAATTTGTGAAAACGGCACATTTCTACATTTTGTAGAAATAAATATAAAGTAAAAAAGATCTACCCAATGACATCATCAAAAGTTAAAACATTTTAAAAACGGTGATTTTAAAACACTATGAGATTCACGATGACGTGGGGAGCAACAAAATACCATCCCTCTCGCAAATCCTACCCTGTGGTGTCACAGAGAAGCATTTTTTAGGACCTTTTCTTTAAACACAGATCATAGAAATGCTCTGTTTTCACATATGTAGGCACTGGTTTGGTGCTGGAGATAATGAATATGAGGTTGAAAAGTGGCGGATTCGCCGTTAAACTCTAATATAGCCTAACCTGCAGCACACAAAGGATTTGTATGTTTCCCAGTGATGTTTGACTGTTGATGTGTTGTGCACCATCTGTCAGGGCTGGAGACCAGCTTCAAACCTACATTATAGTCACTGCCTGTATGAAGGAAACATCAATTCTTTAGATTTGCATGAAATATGAATGCATTGATGCAAGGATTTTTGTTGACTGGTATTCAAGGGAGCCACAGTATTACACGTTATGGGTCATTGTGCTTTTGGCTGTACAGTAAGTACTATCCCATTCATCAGAACCATAGGCATTGTAATGCCTATTATGTGATTCTAGGGGCAAATCAGCACTTTGTTCAATGTTTTGCGGACCCTGATGGACACTCCATAGCATTCACTACGTCTCTTTATGAAATCGTTACGTTTCAATATGGCCATTACAGAATAGAAGGCCATGTCTCAAATATGGCTTTTCAGACAATCATATTTCACGGCTTTTAGAAAGTTCTCACAGAGCTTGTTTCCCACTCACAGTTGTCCGCCAGTGTTTGTTATGAAGTTGAGATTTTGATGAAGTAATACAGTGTCTTGATTTTTATTTGCTAGTTCTTCAGTCTTGTGAAGATAGGGGGGTGATTGGAACAGGAAATGTTACATCCATGTTTTTGTAAAATATGCCTCTTACATCAGATCATCTTGCAAATGTCTCTGCAAAGCTATCTTTCATCAAGGTTTTATATGGTCTATAATTTGTCTCTTTATAAAAAAAATATTGTTGGTATCCTTTTTCAGCGTTATGATACAGTGGGGAGAACAAGTATTTGATACACTGCCGATTTTGCAGGTTTTCCTACTTACAAAGCATGTAGAGGTCTGTAATTTTTATCATAGAAAATCCAGAAAATCACATTGTATGATTTTTAAGTAATTCATTTGCATTTTATTGCATGACATAAGTATTTGATACATCAGAAAAGCAGAACTTAATATTTGGTACAGAAACCTTTGTTTGCAATTACAGAGATCATATGTTTCCTGTAGGTCTTGACCAGGTTTGCACACACTGCAGCAGGGATTTTGGCCTACTCCTCCATACAGACCTTCTCCAGATCCTTCAGGTTTCGGGGCTGTCGCTGGGCAATACGGACTTTCAGCTCCCTCCAAAGATTTTCTATTGGGTTCAGGTCTGGAGACTGGCTAGGCCACTCCAGGACCTTGAGATGCTTCTTACGGAGCCACTCCTTAGTTGCCCTGGCTGTGTGTTTCGGGTCGTTGTCATGCTGGAAGACCCAGCCACGAACCATCTTCAATGCTCTTACTGAGGGAAGGAGGTTGTTGGCCAAGATCTCGCGATACATGGCCCCATCCATCCTCCCCTCAATACGGTGCAGTCGTCCTGTCCCCTTTGCAGAAAAGCATCCCCAAAGAATGATGTTTCCACCTCCATGCTTCACAGTTGGGATGGTGTTCTTGGGGTTGTACTCATCCTTCTTCTTCCTCCAAACACGGCGAGTGGAGTTTAGACCAAAAAGCTCTATTGACCTTCTCCCATTCCTCCTCTGGATCATCCAGATGGTCATTGGCAAACTTCAGACGGGCCTGGACATGCGCTGGCTTGAGCAGGGGGACCTTGCGTGCGCTGCAGGATTTTAATCCATGACGGCGTAGTGTGTTACTAATGGTTTTCTTTGAGACTGTGGTCCCAGCTCTCTTCAGGTCATTGACCAGGTCCTGCCGTGTAGTTCTGGGCTGATCCCTCACCTTCCTCATGATCATTGATGCCCCACGAGGTGAGATCTTGCATGGAGCCCCAGACCGAGGGTGATTGACCGTCATCTTGCACTTCTTCCATTTTCTAATAATTGCGCCAACAGTTGTTGCCTTCTCACCAAGCTGCTTGCCTATTGTGCTGTAGCCCATCCCAGCCTTGTGCAGGTCTATAATTTTATCCCTGATGTCCTTACACAGCTCTCTGGTCTTGGCCATTGTGGAGAGGTTGGAGTCTGTTTGATTGAGTGTGTGGACAGGTGTCTTTTATACAGGTAACGAGTTCAAACAGGTGCAGTTAATACAGGTAATGAGTGGAGAACAGGAGGGCTTCTTAAAGAAAAACTAACAGGTCTGTGAGAGACGGAATTCTTACTGGTTGGTAGGTGATCAAATACTTATGTCATGCAATAAAATGCAAATTAATTACTTAAAAATCATACAATGTGATTTTCTGGATTTTTGTTTTAGATTCCGTCTCTCACGGTTGAAGTGTACCTATGATAAAAATTACAGACCTCTACATGCTTTGTAAGTAGGAAAACCTGCAAAATCGGCAGTGTATCAAATACTTGTTCTCCCCACTGTATCCATTACATCCATAACAGTGGTGGATGTGATGGATATGGATGTATCAAATCTTGGCTTCAGAAGCATGTGCATTCACCACATTGTGTCAGCTTCTTTAGACTTTTAAGCAATTGTTGATATCTTGAAAATTATGTGATATCTTAGATAATACAGTATATGCAGAAATGCATTTCTCGTACATGGCAGTAGTGTTTTTTTTAGATGGAAAGATGAAAATAGTGTTTATCCGTAATCTGTGGACCGTCCTGGAGTGTCTTATTCAAATGAAACCCCCCAAAATATGCTGACTTCATTCAGTGTCCAGAAAAGTGGATTGGTGGTATAGGTACATCTACAGTATATTGCCTCTTTTGCATACTTAAATATAATATTTCAGAAAAGGATCTTCAATGCTGCAGTCATTTTTTGGTACCCTTCCCCAGATCTGTGCCTCAACACAATCCTGTCTCGGAGCTCTACGGATAATTCCTTCGATCTCATGGCTTGGTTCTTGCTCTGACATGCACTGTCAACTGTGGGACCTTATATAGACAGGTGTGTGCCTTTCCAAATCATGTCCAATCAATGGAATTTACCACAGGTGGACTCCAATCAAGTTGTAGAAACATTTCAAGGATGATCAATGGAAACAGGATGCACCTGAGCTCAATTTCGAGTCTCATAGCAAAGGGTCTGAATACTTATGTAAATAAGGTATATTTCTTTTTTATACATTTGTAAAAATCTCTAAAAACCTGTTTTCTCTTTGTCATTATGGGGTATTGTGTGTAGGTTGATGAGAATGAATAAATAATTTAATCAATTTTAGAATAAGGCTGTAATTTAACAAAATGTGGAAAAAGTCAAGGGGTCTGAATACTTTCTGAATGCACTGTATGTAATGGGGAATTAATAGACACAGCAAACAATGCACACAAAGTTATGAAACAATGAATACCCACGAAATGGCAGGAGAGAACGCATTCTGGAGCAAGACGTGCCTTGTGCATCTGAGCCACAATCCCCATAATCTTGGACCATGTCATCCCTGTAGCCTCCTCAATGGATTAGTCCACTGAGAGGCGCAAATTAGACCGGTGTCTCGTGTGCCATAACAAAAATATATATATTTGCGACTGCTGGACTAAACAAATGTCATGTTTTCAATACAGACCCCTTTTGTCATACAGTATTCCATATAAGGCAACCAGACCTGATGAAAGTTGCACAGTATACCCTTAATCTTGTAATAAATCAAATCTAGTGATACATAACTTGACATTTCTTCCATCCATTGTAACATTGTGGGAGGATAACCAACCTTCCAATTATTGGCAACGTGGTCCTCTGTAGCTCAGCTGGTAGAGCACGGCGCTTGTAACGCCAAGGTAGTGGGTTCGATCCCCGGGACCACCCATACACAAAAAATGTATGCACGCATGACTGTAAGTCGCTTTGGATAAAAGCGTCTGCTAAATGGCATATTATTATTTATTATTATTTCTTATCCACTAGAAATGCTAGGTTACATAGTTTCTTCTGATAACATTCTTCAGTATCAACAGTTCCAAGCAAACAAAAACAGGGAGAAGGGAGTATCTGTAGACATGCTGAGAGAAAAGAACATACTCTTTGACAGAATTCAGCCAGCCTTCACAAGATCATAACATGCAAATATGTCCCCTTTTGTGTTTTAGACCTTCAGCAGAGGAATTACATTTCTGAGTGCATGATATTCAGTTTCACTGGTATATAGTATATTATATGGATGGTCTTAAACTGCAGTAATTTATTTCTGAGATTATATGAACATGACTGGGCATTCAAACATATCTGTATCCATTCATCATCATCCCAGGTCTTCACCTGAGCTCCGTAGACTGGTCTTCCCTGGCTGTCTGACCCTGCTGGGACACCGGCCACCATCTGATCCTGCTAAGACATGATGAGCATAGTACTGTGTACTGACTGTGCACCATGACAGTGTAGCCTGTAGAGCTGTTGATTCCATGTCAGTATGAAATGTAGGGAATTAGCTCGGGAAACTGACAGATCAATAACGTTACATTCAATAACGTCTAGTTCATTGAAGCAAAAATAATAGCTAAAGTCAGTAGGTTAGCTAGCTAACGTTTGCCAACTTTTGGCTAGCTCTAATGGTACACCAACTGTTGAAAACAAGCCAAAGGAATTTACTTCTGTTGAAATGGGACAAAAAGGGTACAAAACATTTCCATACACACAACAGCTGTTAGATACAGCTACCTGACAGAGACTAGAGCTGAACTGGCTGTGGTATCTACTAGCTAGCTAGTTCATTCTCTTTAGACACAACTTCAGTCAAGAGTGGATGTAACATTACTGTAGGTAACGTTACATTTCAGTTACACTACTAGTTAAGCACTGGGAATAATTAAGTCAAACAGCAGTTACAGTTGAAGTTGGAAGTTTTACATACACTTAGGTTGGAGTCATTAAAACTCGTTTTTCAACCACTCCACAAATGTCTTGCTAACAAACTATAGTTTTGGCAAGTCGGTTAGGACATCTACTTTGTGCATGACACAAGTACTTTTTCCAACAGTTGTTTACAGACAGATTATTTCACTTATAATTCACTGTATCACAATTCAAGTGGGTCAGAAGTTTACATACACTAAGTTGACTGTGCCTTTAAACAGCTTGGAAAATTCCAGAAAATGATATCATGGCTTTAGAAGCTTCTGATAGGCTAATTGACATCATTTGAGTCAATTGGAGGTGTACCTGTGGATGTATTTCAAGGCCTACCTTCAAACTCAGTGCCTCTTTGCTTGACATCATGGGAAAATCAAAAGAAATCAGCCAAGACCTCAGAAAAAAAAATTGTAGACCTCCACAAGTCTGGTTCATCCTTGGGAGCAATTTCCAAACGCCTGAAGGTACCACGTTAATCTGTACAAACAATAGTACGCAAGTATAAACACCATGGGACAACGCAGCCGTCATACCACTCAGGAAGGAGACGCGTTCTGTCTCCTAGAGATGAACGTACTTTGGTGCGAAAAGTGCAAATCAATTCCAGAACAACAGCAAAGGACCTTGTGAAGATGCTGGAGGAAACGGGTACAAAAGTATCTATATCCACAGTACTATATTGACATAACCTGAAAGGCCGCTCAGCAAGGAAGAAGCCACTGCTCCAAAACCGCCATAAAAAAGCCAGACTACGGTTTGCAACTGCACATGGGGACAAAGATCGTACTTTTTGGAGAAATGTCCTCTGGTCTGATGAAACAAAAATAGAGCTGTTTGGCCATAATGACAATCGTTATGTTTGGAGGAAAAAGGGGGTCGCTGGCAAGCCGAAGAACAGCATCCCAACCGTGAAGCACGGGGGTGGCAGCATCATGCTGTGGGGGTGCTTTGCTGCAGGAGGGACTGGTGCAATTCACAAAATAGATGGCATCATGAGGAAGGAAAATGATGTGGATATATTGAAGCAACATCTCAAGACATCAGTCAGGAAGTTAAAGCTTGGTCGCAAATGGGTCTTCCAAATGGACAATGGCCCCAAGCATACTTCCAAAGTTGTGGCAAAATGGCTTAAGGATAACAAAGTCAAGGTATTGGAGTGGCCATCACAAAGCCCTGACCTCAATCCTATAGAGAATTTGTGGGCAGAACTGAAAAGGCGTGTGCGAGCAAGGAGGCCTACAAACCTGACTCAGTTACACCAGCTCTGTCAGGAGGAATGGGCCAAAATTCACCCAACTTATTGTGGGAAGCTTGTGGAAGGCTACCCGAAACGTTTGACCCAAGTCAAACAATTTAAAGGCAATGCTACCAAATACTAATTGAGTGTATGTAAACTTCTGACCCACTGGGAATGTGATGAAAGAAATAAAAGCTGAAATAAATAATTCTCTCTACTATTATTCTGACATTTAAAATTCTTAAAATAAAGTGGTGATCCTAACTGACCTAAGACAGGGAATTTTTACTAGGATTAAATGTCAGGAATTGTGAAAAACTGAGTTTAAATGTATTTGGCTAAGGTGTATGTAAACTTCCGACTTCAACTGTACATTGCAAGCTACATCAGTCAAATAAAGAGCAGCCAGTTTCTGCTCTGCTTGCTTTTACAACTCGGAGAAAAAGCACAACACACATAGAGACAGCAGCTGCAGACAGCAGCACCATGCCTTTCAGAAGCTTTGCCTTCACACTGCCTGTCCGCACGCTCTGTGGTGTCCGCGCAGCCCTAAATCCAGCCATCTGAAACTGCCAAACAGTCTACCCGACTGCAATAAAAAGCATCCACCTGGTCCCTAAGCACACCGATGCCAGTTTTAGTGTCACAGTGCAATGATAAAACTGGGGGACAAAAATGCAATTTTAGAATGTGGAGGGGTCATTTCCCCCCCGTTCCCAGTGAGTTGCGCCCCTGGTTGTCATTTCAGGTTTATGTTTGTTCATGATCTAAGAAATATGGATTTGTTTCCAAAATTAGGGAGTTGTTTCAGAATGCAGTTGTTATCATAATTTTGAAGTCCATTGAGTCTATAGCAGTCACCTGTCAGTCTCCACTCAACACTCATCTCTCAGAGCAATGCATTGTGGGATAGCAGGCGCTAAATCCCGTTATGTGGTGCCCGATTACTGCGGTAATCCACTGGACTGTTTTCCACTAAAGTAAGTGTGTGTGTGTGTGTGTGTGTGTATGTGTGTGACTCTGGGTAATCCACTGCACTATAAATAATCACTTAGATTTTCCCCCCTCTCTCTCTGAATCAAAGTGACCTTAGTTTCCAGTACTGTATACTCCACTATGATTACCACTATTATACTGAGAGTATCTCTGCTGAAAATGCTTACAGAGGGGTACACACACCTCTCCTTGAGATGTGCTTCAGCAGTATAAAGTTAAGCCCCAGATATCCCTAAACCTTAGATATGGAAACCTTGTGAGACGGGACCTAGGCCAACCTGGCAACCACAGTGGAGATTCACTCAGAGGTTTCTGGTTTTCTCAGAGGCAGACATTGACAGAGTGCCTAGAGAAGTGTTCCTGGTGAGGGTTACTGTCCTGCCTCCTCACATTTACCTGTCCCCTTTTTATATAATGATTGGTGTGTATTGTTATTCTGTAGTTCTGTCCATCCTGTAAGCTGATTGTTATCCACCTGGAAGATGAATGCATCTGATCTTCATGTTTCATGCAAAGTTTTGTTTTTCTAGAATGTGGTGTGCTTGCATGTTGAGGTCCAGGAATATTCACTTCTGTACTATTTTGTCAAATTGTATGATTCTGCTTTGGTTGCTTCTGTTCTCCCTACATGTTTTCTCACTCTCTGTTCATCAATTGATGCCATGAGTCAAAGACAGACTTGAGAATAGTCTGTGGATGTCCCTACTTCTGCATATAGACAAGCCACCTAATAATCCTTTATACAATGGCTAGTTCTGGCCACACATTATGATTTGCATTTGAAAATTGAATACTTCATCTTTGCGATTAGCAATGTCATAGACTGAATGAGAGCTAGCAAGCTACACTCTGTAATGAGTGTTCTATTACATGACATTCAGAGGAATGGTAGTGTACATTCAGATCGAAATGCTGAATTAAATATCCTCACCTTCGGGAAACAACCTGATGTATTTATTTTTACTTTATGTCCCTTTAGGACGCAATGAGCCCCTGAAGAAGGAGTGCACTAAATGGAAGAGTGAGTACCCTATGACGGAGGGCCAGCTGAGGAGTAAGAGGGATGAGTTTTGGGACACGGCTCCAGCCTTCGACGGCAGGAAGGAGATTTGGGATGCGCTCCGAGCGGCAGCAGTGGCCGCAGAGGTTAACGACCTGGAACTGGCTCAGGCCATAGTGGACGGAGCCTGCATCACACTACCACACGGTGAGACACACGCACATGCATACACGCACACACACAGACTCACACGCACGTTCCATCTCAATAACTAACTAATCTAACATTAGTATTTATAACATTTGGCACCAACCTGAAGGCCATTATAATGCTATATCAAACCTATGCCTAAGCCCAAATCGACTCCTACACTCTTAGAAAAAAGGGTTCCAAAAGGGTTCTTCGGCTGTCCCCATAGGAGAACCCTTTTCGTTTCCAGGTAAAATCCTTTTTGGTTCCAGGTAGAACCGTTTTTGGTTTCATGTAGAACCCCTCTGTGGAAAGTGTTCTACATGGAACCCAAAATGGTTCTGCTTGGAACCAACAAGGGTTCTTCAAAGGGTTCTCCTATGGCAACATCCGAAGAACCCTATTAGGTTCTAAGATAGCCCCTTTTTTTCTAAGAGTGTAACTCCCTATATGCACTTGTGGAGATCTGAATGGATTGGACTGGTATCAATATAGTAATAGCTCCACCATGTATTTTTATAGCCTGGGTGATGTATCCTGACGGAACCAGCCTGATCACATGACAGATGGCTTACCATTATGTTTCACTTAACACTGCGATCAGGCTGGTTCCACCAGGCTATGGGTGACATAATTCATGACCAGTTAGCTGATTCGTGATCTGTGTGTCTCTGTGGTTATCAGATTACTGCTGTGTGGTTATATAATAGTCCTGGGCAGCATGACAGGACCTCAGGGATTTAGCTACATAGACATTATGGACACAGCAGGGGGGGAAAGCTCCTCTAATGTGTGTGCATGTTTGACATGTGGAATTGCATCATTCTATAATTATTTGCTAAACAGAACATTGCAGAATCGGCTGTGTTTCAGCAGGGCTGGAGCAAAAGCCTGCACTGTAGCTTCGGGAGGAGCTAGGGGTCCCTAGGGGCTAGGGGTTGATTTCAGATAGAACTTGTCACTGAGTGTTACTGAGGTTTGTTTTGTGTCTATCTGTCCCGTCCAGGTACGCTGACAGAGAGTTATGACGAGCTGGGGAACCGCTACCAGCTTCCTGCCTACACTCTAGCCCCTCCTGCCAACCTCATCACTGAATGCACCAATGAGAGCCAAGCTCCCGATCAAAAGGAGCAGAAAAAGCCTCCCCCTCCTCCCAAAGAGGAGTTCCAGCTACGAGTACGCCTCTCGTGCGGTAAGAGAAACACCCTATTCCTTTTCTCTTTTTTCATCTGCTCAATTTCTCTCTGCAGTTCTTCATTGAGATCAGAGGGGTATACTATGAATCTAGATAGATGTACTTAGGCTTTTCTGAAATTAGCTAGTTTCAGTTAGCTTCACATTCCAGCTCAGGCTTCATTCATGTTACAAAGGTAGATATTGATCAAACACCTACCGCTTACTCAAGCCTGCTCGAGCCGGGCTTGTAACTGCGCGTTCATGTCGCACATGGCTAGTCGCAAGTCAATCCATGGGTGAGTCAATGCCACATGTTCATTTTTGCCCAAATCAAAATGAAAGAAAATTGAACCAGCAAATTCAGCAGACTGTGGTGTGAAATGTGCTATTAGAAATGCCGTCTTTCTTACGCATATCGTTTCTTTGGTGTGCTTATCAATATCAATGCTTGAGTCCCTTTTTCCCCACTCCTATCGATAAAATAATTGTATAAAGTAATACGAAAGTTTTACTGAGCGTGAAGTTTCAAATACATCCTGTCATTACTAAATGTGTTGTGTGATATGTATTTGAAAAAAAACATATTCCTCAAATATGGTCCCGAGAATGAAGGGATGATGACGCACTCTTTGCGAGAGGTAGGGAATCTATTTTGATTGGTCCTCAACTCACAGCTTAAACGCCTAAACATGGCTCAAACACTTTTGTGTTACCGGTTATCCAGAGTTGAACTCAGTTTACCAAAGTTAGCTCGCTTACTTCTCTATCTAGATTCATAGTACACCACTCAGGATAAGTCCATGCCCCAATCCCCAGGGTCATTCCAATACTAATCATCTGGAGTGTGAATGTCAGCCCCTCAGGCCTAGTTTTTATCACCTTGTTTGACAGCGTGTTTAAAGGGGGCCTGAGGATGTGTTCGCACGTGGCAAGTCTTTGTACATTGACTCTGCCAAAACAGTACACAGTTACAGTCACTCACCCTTTTAGATAACTTGAAACCGTCTAACCAGGTCTTGGGTCTTGAAGTTGCCTAGGCCAGGGGTTCTGAAACCTTTTGGGTCCGGGGACCCCTTTTGTGATAGCAAATTCATCAGGGACCCCCTCATAACTTGAGTGAGATAAAAATAGCATACAAAGAGTTTTACTATGACTTCGGCAGTGCATGGCCAGGTGAACCAAGTCTCGGGCCCTGGGAAGGAACATTTTAAAGGCTCTCCTCTTGGCATATGAGAGGAATTGTTGCAGTTTTAAAGCTTGAAGCTAGAGTCCTTAATTGAAATACACCATTCCCCATTCTACATTCCTGAACAGACCCCTGATTGTAGAAGTAACTTGACCAATGTCTCTCTTCTCCACAGGCAAGGACCTACGTATAAGCGCCTCCATGTCAGACTCCATTTCACAGCTGAAGAGAGCCCTGGAGGGGCAGGAGGACATTGAAGCCGCCCACCAACGCTGGTTCTTTGCAGGGAAACTGCTAACAGACAAGACCCGGCTCCAGGACACCAAGATACAAAAAGACTTTGTGGTCCAGGTCATCGTGAACAACTACTCACCCGTAACCAAACTCATACCAAACTGAGAGAGAGAGAGAGAGAGAGAGAGAGAGAGAGAGAGAGGAGAGAGAGAGAAGAGAGATAGAAGAGAGAGGATAGAGATATACTAGGAGAGATATAGGCGCATAGAGAGCTAGCGATAGAGTCGTCTCGATACTATGCGCTATGCTCTCTCTAGGCTACTTCTCTCGCTCCTCTCCTCTCATCTCTCTCCTCTCTCTCTCTCCTCTCTCTCTCTCTCTCTCTCCTCTCTCCTCTCTCTCTTCTCTCTCTCGCAGCGCTCTCTCTCGAGCTGCGCTCTACTTCTCTCTCTTCTGCTCGCGTCGCTCGTCTCTCTCATCCTCTTCTCTCCCTCCTCTCGCTCCTTCGCGCGCCTCCCCCTCCTTTTCTATTGGACATGTTCAGATAGTTCCTCCAAATTCCGGACCACTTTCTTACATTTCATGCCTAGTGGACACGACCCTGGACTGTTGGTTACTGCAAAGGAATTGTGGCTCTAATATTTCATAATTTCTTTGCTTTTGTATTTCTTATCCTCTTTTTGTATTTTCCTAATGATCCCACATTGTTACTGAGTGAAAATACACAAATGATGTGTAGCCTGGCAAAGCACTGACAAACTGTAGACTGAACTGGAAGAGAATCATGGCATAAGGAGAAGAACACTTACTACAGTGTGTCTGTCTGTCTACAGTTTATCCACTACCATTACACCTCTGTCCCCTACAGTATATTCATTATTTTCCTTGTGAGTGTGTTCATGTGGAACTTTGAACTGTGAATAGGGTTGGACAGTGGAAAGTATCCTGCCTGACGATACAAATATTCTATTGGATCTCTATTTATACTGAAAGCCATTCTATTTGTACTATTTCTATTGTCTGATCTTTACATAATGGTAAAAAAGAATAATGACAGATTTATGAAAGAAAGTTTACATACTGTTTCAATGCTTGTTTGATTGTGAATATTTATATATTTAATAAGCAGAAATGTATTTTTAAGTGAAAATGTTCATGAAAAGTCAACAATTTGAGGAGCAAGTGAATATCCTGGTTTATAAGGTGAAAATAGCTGGTTTGATTTTCATAGATTTTTCCAACCAAGTATGGATAACATGCTGTAGTTTTGTATGCTCCAAAGTGCACTAAAAGGATGAATATTTGTGAATGAATTTATGAATAAACATTCTAAATGAATCAAACCTCTGTATATTTGATTAAGATTTTTGTGCATAAAGGCTCTCCAAACCTGTTTTTTTAATAAAGTATGTAGATTCATAAATACCTTCCTATCTCTAAATAATCTACAAGATTAGGTATTTTTAAATCTACTAAACGTCTTCATAAGGTAAGTCTGAATACCAAATACGAGTGCTTAAATCAAAACGCGTAAAAAATCATACATTTCCTAAGTCTGAATCGTCCCCTGAGTAACGTCAAAATTGTAATTTTTCATGACAAATTGTGTCAGAAACTGTTTTTATGGTAGTCAAGTGTATAAATGTAAATTGCTTGCATAGAAAAATTGGGGCTAGTAGTAGAAGTAGTGACCAGTGGCGGCTCCTGAAAAAATTCTCAGGGGGGGCAATTTTTCTGATGATTTAGGTGACCTACACACATTTTAAAAAATATATGTCCAGCAACAACATGAAGACAGGGGCAGCATATAAGTCAATACTGATATACACATTACTTGCTTCAAAAAGGCCTCATGGTTGAATTGGAAATATGTGCACCTGAGCATAATTCACAACAAGCAAGCAGGAGCTTTTGATAGAGGCTACTGAAAACATTGATGCAAGTTATTGGTAATAAGAAATTTTTATAGACTTCCATATTCTGCCCTCTTGTATAGATTTGTGAAAATGAACAGTGATAGACATTTTGCCTGAAAACAGAATTTGAAAATAATTTCTAGAAAAGGTAAACACAGCTATCTGTATGGCTTTGTAAAAATGAACAACCATATTCTGGCCAATTGTATAGATTTGTAAATATGAACAACCATATTCTGGCCAATTGTATAGATTTGTAAAAATGAACATGAACCGATATATATATATTTTTTTACTTTTTTAAAAATGAAAAATAACTATTTTAAACAACATCAACTGTGAACTGATTTGGGCGTGTGTGTGTTAAAGAGACAGACAGGGAGGGACAAAGAGAGAGAGAGGCTACATTACTTGTACTGAAACTGTTCTCTTCTCTCTTTCAATGCAGCAAAGCGGTCAATGACTTTCTCATTGAAATCAGGCATGCTGAGGACTAGTTCCCTCTCCATGGAAAGCATGGCCAGTGCATTCAGACGTTCCTGGCCCATTGAATTTCGCAGGAATGTCTTAACTCGTGTCAAAGTTGAGAAACATCTCTCAGCTTCAGCTGTTGTCATGGGAGTAGTTATGAGGATGTTCAACAGAGTCACAGTCTCAGAGAACGTCTCCTGGAGGTTGTAGCTCATGAGAACCTGGTACAGTGCCAGTGCACCACAGCAGCCCTTGAATTCAGGATTCTCATAGATCAGAGATAGTTCTGTCTTGAGCTTTGCCTTGCTCAGCATGGGGTATGCATTCACAGTGGCATTCAGAGCCTCATCAGGAAATGAATGGCAGTACCTTTCAAACATGTCTGCTTGCAGTAAGGTAGCACTCACAAGGTGGCCAGAGAAAGAGAACCTTTCTTTGGTGTGATCCAGGATGGTGTTGCAGACCTCTTCAGACAGCCTCTGCTTCTCCTCTTCTCTCAAAGCTGTTCTGGGTCTTTTGGCTCCTGTTGCTTCTTGCAGCTGCTGTTGAGAGGAGTCCCTGAAGGCAAACAGACCAATGTGTTTGTTGGCTTTGTACAGTATTGTTGTCTATGTGATGCACAGGTATATGCAATGTATCCATGTATAGTACAAATACTTCAGTTCCACTTAAAATGGGCAGGGATGCATAAAGTCTTTAGTGTTTAAGTTAGCCTTTGTGTCTCACATAGCCTGGATGTTCAGCACAGTATACAGTGGTGCTCATAAGCTTATGAGCCCATGCTAATGTTGACTAAAAAGAGGAATAAAAAATAAAATAAAATTGGTGTCCTTAAAGGTTGGATTTTCCAACTTTTTTAATTAAGTCATTAAGATCAATTTCCAAAAGATGATTTTTTTTATTTTTGTATTCCTCTTTTTAGTCAACTTTAGAATGTGTTCATACACTTATGAGCACCACTGTACAGTACACATAGTATATAAAATAAGCTAGATTACACCACTGGCCATATATAATGAGAATAATGTAATTTCAAACACAAATGCAGTCTCCTTTCATGCATACATTTTCAAATAAAGCTCTGCTTTGAGAAAGATCGAATGATATTGTTTAATCTTACCTTATGGCCTGCACACTGCTTGTGAAGCTGTCGAGGGCACGTTTGATGAAGACAGCATCGCTGTCCTTCTTCTGTAGCTTCTGGTACAGAATGTCGACGTGGGGCATGATTTTGTGAAAAAGCCCCAGGAAAAAAATAAAATCTTCATCATGTAGCATCCTCACGTAGCCAGATGCCTCTCTCACGGTGGGCTGGTCAAATGAACCCAATGAACCCGTCCGGATGGCTTCAAAACATTCTATGAGGTCGTCTCGATTCTCGTAGACAGTGTTCACGACTCTGCTGTTGAAGTTCCACCGTGTGGATGAAGGTCTGGGCAGTCTTCGTGCAACAGTCTGGTCAAGAATGCTGGTGCGTTCAGTCTCTCCAAAAGCACACTGGCGATTGAGACTGAGGTTGATTCCGAGATGGGAAGGAACTCAAAAAAGCGCTCCTGCACTTTGTGGTTGCTATCTATGTACCTCAGCACAAGCACCAGCTGTGTCTGTGTAGAAACGTCCGTGGTCTCGTCAGCTTGGATAGCTACGAAGTTCGCCGACTTCACCTCCTCCACAATATGTTCCCTCATGACCGCTAGCATACACTCCAGTAGCTCGTTTTGAATGGTCTTTGATGTGCCCTTGAAAACTTTAGCATTTTTAAGATGGTCATCAAACACCTCATCTAATTGTGCCACAAAGTTGACAAGTCCAAGAAAAATACCAGGGTTGGTGGAGCCCTCAGTTTCATCTTTGCCTCGCAAAGCTAACTCAAACACTCCGCAAAACTTCACACACTGGATTAGCCGGCTGAGGATGTGGCGGTTCTTGCTAACCTCATCGTTGTGGCGGCGGACAGCTAGCCTGTATCCCTCATCCAGTTGAGTGGCAATGTTCACTCTCCCCAAAGCAGACAATCTCAAACAGCTATCCATGTGGGTCTTTGACAGCTCATGTTTCTTAATCTTTTCTGAAAGATGGTGCATGTCCGTTACACCAGTCGCTGTCCAAGCGGTGCTGTCTGCCGTGCCGCCTTCAGGGTGAAAGAGTAAGCAGGGGTAGCAGAAGACTGCATTAGCTACATCGCAGCCTGCTAGCCAGGTTTTTCGTTCGTACCAATTTTTTGAAAATCCTCGGGTGTAGGACTTTCCCCCTTTAGTAGAAACCTGTTGAATTATTAAATTTGGTCTGGGAGGTCCTAATTGTTTCGTTGCCAATTTATCTTGATTTGTTCGCCGACAAAAAGGAACTTCTTTCAAAGAGACAATCGAGTTGCACTGAACGTTAGCCATCTTGACAGTAGTACGTGAATTGATTGACGCTGCTACCCGCTCTTTTCTTAGTTATGTTCATGGTTATGTTACGTATGACGAAAGCGCGTAAGTGCAAGCCCTCCCGGAACCCATAGAGATTGTATTGAAAGCTCTGATATTTGAAAAAAAAAAGATTTTACATGAGAGTCTATGAGAGACTTCTGGGGCGATTTTCAACCTGACTGAAATCGCCCCAAAACGGGCGGGGCCATTTGAAGCACGACTTTAGCCTGATTGGACATTTAGTGGCAGATCAGACGTCTAGATTAGAACACTGATAACTACTGTTGCCGTGATATAATTGATTAGAAAAAAAATCCCTTCCTTTTCCCGTTTGGCAGTGCGTCGCCCATATCGCCCTAATGAA